CCTTTTGTACATTGAATTTCCTTAATAATATGAGTATGATGTTTTTCATTTGTTTAAATGACCAATTACCCATGCTTGCATATTTATTTTTCACAAATTCAGATTTATCTGCCTTTTTATTTCGACAAAGGGGGGAAAGTATACTCTCATGGAGAGTAGGGTATACTCTATATCTAACTTAGAAGGAGTTTAATCACTCCAAATATATATATATATATATATATATATATATATATACACACACACACACACTATTTCTTTTACCACCTCTCCTGAGAGACATGTTGTTATCATCAAAAAGAGGGAGAATGAAGAACCTTATTTTGCATGTGATACGCTTTTAAAGAGGACATCTACTTTTGATGATGATAACTATTGTGTTATGATAAGTCAAGCATGAACGATTAAGTAGTTAAAGATGCAAACCTTATCATTAGAGTTTGATGGACTTGACTAATTGATGATGGAAAACAAATGAATACAACTAAAGCCCCATCTCAAGCATACTCAAGTTGTGTCAACAAAAATAGAAGTATTTGGAAAAGTCTTGAAGTAATTGTGTAATCTCTAAATTTAGTAATGAGTGAACAATTGTAAGGCAAAAAGACTTTATCGTAAAAGCGCAAGGTTAAAGCGCACACACACACTAAACTATTTTTAAAACGCTTTACCTAAAGAAAATATTTTGAAAAACATCTAGAAGTTGTGTCAATTGAATTGGGAGCGGTCAAAATAGTTATAGGTGGATTTTTGATATTTCTAATCAATTAAAACATTTGTCAAATCAGTTAGAAATTTGCAAGCTTAAGGCCCTAACTATTTTGAAAGCACCTTGATTTTGTGCAACAACAACATATCTTAAGCTTCCTTTTTGAGAACTTATAAACGATTATTTTAACTATTTAATCGATTATGAATATCCTCTAATCAATTATATTATCGTAAAAAGCTTTTATTGAAATTTCCTTTTTGAGTCAACCTTAAGCCTATAAATACATATTTCATTTCTCATTCCAAACCATTCAGAATCGTGTTTTGACACACCTCAATCAAACACTCTCTCTCTCTCTATCTCTCTCTATCTGTCTCTCTCTCTATCTCTCTCTCCCTCCCTCCCTCCCTCCCTCTCTATCTCTCTCTCAATCTCTCTCTCTCTCTCTAAGTTTTATTTTTATTTTCTCTCACTAATATTTTAAACTAAGTGCTTTTCTAAGAAAAATTATTTTGAAGTGAGGCTATAATTATAATTCTAGAAAATGTAGCATTGTAAAATTTTTCAAGGGAATATTTTGTATACACCTTGGTTGAATATTGTCCATTTAGGAATTTATTTGGGTTAAAAGTCAAATTCATCAAAAGCTTTGGTTTGGGATTGTGTGATTCAGTTCTAGATTAAGTTGGAGATCAGCCCATGTTAAAATCTCATAGGCTATTAGTCATGTCGATATTAAAACCAAGATATGTTAAATCTCATCCAGGTATTAAAAGCTTCACAAGTTTATGATTAACCCGTTGATAAAATCTCACATTTTATTAGACATTCCGTGTAAAAACCAAGGATTTAAGCTCAAAGATCGTATTCCTAGAAAGAAGACTAACTGCTTCAATCAACCATCAAGAAGAAATATTTTCCACTTCACTCTTGAGATTATTCTGAAGAAAAGACACAAACGCACATATCTTTTGTCTTGTATTATTTGGTTGAAAATCAACCATCATATCCTTGTATAATGGAGTTTGTAAGTCCTTCATGCTAAAAGCTCTCAATATTTATTGGAAGCTCTCAATATAAATTCTTGGGGACATGACAAAGTCATTTTTATTGAAGTTGTATAAATCCCCGTGTTCCTCTTCTTCCCTTAACTCTTTAATTTTCGCAATTTATTTTCTGCATGTTATTTCCCACCGCTAAGTTTTCAAAATATTTTTAAACTCTGATTTTATTGCACAAAGTTTTTCAAAACTGCAATTTTTCAAACCACACAATTCACCCCCCTCTCTTGTGTGAAGTCTCAAGTCCAACAATAAGTACTCTTATGAAACAATATTTTATCACAAGTGAAATTTTTTATTGTAATCAATCCTATCTACCTGATTAAAACATTTAGCTATAAGTGTTGATTTAAATCTCGATTCTTCAATTTCTAAAAAACATTCATTCCTCTTGAAGATCACTTACATCCAACAACCTTTTATTTTTTAGTGCATCTCTAATGGTGTAACCCATATTTTGATTATTTTATAAGTTCCATTATGCCGCATCATTTTGAGTCTCATGGCCAACACTAAAATATTTGTATTGAGTCTTACAATTTTACCTCAAGTAAGAATATTTTATTTTATTTATAATCAATTTTAACTCACAAATTTATAAAAAGTATTATGTATATTAATTTTTTAATCAAAGAGTGAGTAAATGGATCCTTCCTGGAATTTTTTTTAAATAATCATTTTTTCAAAAAAAAACTCAAATAACCACATTTTCAAAAAATTTACCAAAGTAATTACTTTTTAAACCAAAAAAATTCGCCATACAGAGGAGGCGCTACTCTGTGTGACGTATGCATAGAAAATAGAGAGGAGGCACCATACTGCATAACTTATCCTCCTATGTAATGTCATGCAGTGTGGCACATGCATGCATAATTATAGAGGAGGCGTCACCTTGTGTGGCCTGACAGTTGTATTTATTAATTTTTTTAAAATAAAAAAAAAGTAACTAAAAATATTTTATATTAATATTTTAAATTACACAATGCATGGATACATATTTTTTCGGACGTCCCCTCAATCTAAGCGGATCCCGGTATGACATAAACGATCCCGCATTTGCCTCACCCCTTGCATCACTCCTCTCTATTGATTTCTCTAAGGTGTTTGGGGTCTGTTCTGACTCGCTTGATGATGAGGTGCTTGATGTGATAGTCCTGGTACATCAGGATCATACATCTCATCGATCATTTTGCCCCACTTTGCAGTGATTTCAAAGAGACCGATGCTCATGTTGTTGAAGTTTGGTCTTATTGGTTAAGATATGTGTGGGTTGAGTGGTTTATAGTATTAGGATGTTGAATTGTTTTGGAAATGAAGCAACGGTTCTTGTGGTGTATGAAATCTGTATGATGGTTGAGTACTCCGATGGTGTGATGTTTGACTGTATGTAGGTTGGATGGTATGGTAGGAAGAAGATGTATCATATGTGTCCTGGGTGTTGTGGTAGGATGTGGAGGGTGCATATTATTGATGGTGGGTCGGGTCATGCTCTTGGTATTGTGTTTGTGTGTGTGACATGAATTAATGACGGGTTTGGTTAGATGTGGTGGTGTATGGTTGTTGGGTTTGAGTGAGTTGAAATTTTTGTTGGGTTTGATATTTTTGAGGGGTTAAATGTTAGGGTTGTTGTTGGGCGTATGATGCAGCTCTTTGGTGCGGGTCGATCAAATATGTCTCGTGAGACAAAAACGAATTTGTTGAAATCGATATGTACTATGTCAAATATTGGAGAGTTAGTTTTAAGTCATCTTGCGAGATCGGATCCCTTAGGATCAATTCACGTTGATGCCTCCATTGACGATATTGATTTCTAGCGAAGTCTCTCAAATTATTAAATCCCCATTGGTCGTCAACTCTGAGTAGATGTCATTGTCACAAACATGTAGGGGTCTGGGATACCCTGTTGCATGTTGAACCGTAGCTTCACAGGATTACTGTGGTGCATCTCCACAGTAGTGAACCTAATGAGCGTTGTTTTTGCAGTCCAGACTTCAGCATCTGCTGGGTTAATCTCATGGTCGAGATCCTTATACAACCTCCATATAAACTGTAGAGGAAAAAGAGTGTTAATACAATATTAATATTAAACTTAATTAACTTATTAAAAGCGTTGTATAAAATATGTAAGCTTAATACTTCTTCGGGTTCAATATGATCAATAAGATTTCGGAAGACTACTATTGTGTTTCTAGGAGATTTATTGTAAAAAAATTTAATAAATACAACTGTCAAGCCACACAAGGTGGCGTTTCCTCTATAATTATAGTTGCATGCGACATACTGTATGATATTACATAGGAGGACAAACCATTGAGTGTGGTGTCTCCTCTTTATTTTCTATGCATGTGCCACACAGAGTGACGCCTCCTCTGTGTGGTGAATTTTTTATATTTGAAAAATAATTACTTTAGTAAATTTTTTGAAAATATAATTATCTGGAAAAAAAATTTAAAAAAAATTATTTAAAAAAAAATTCTCCTTCCTAAAGAAATCGTAATGCCAGTTGGTATATCTCAAAAGCAAAAAAAAGTATTGACTTTTCAATGATAAATGAAGGATGGACTCAAAATAAATATTGAAGTTGCTCTTAGTTAGCCTCACAAGCTTCCAAATATAATTTCTTCTTACGATTCTTGAGAGAGTGTTAGCTAAAATGTAGTCGAGTTTTTTATTTCTCTAGTAGACAAGTCAAATAAATTCCAAATGTCCATGCACCGGTCTTGATGGGTTAAAGGTGTCTCCAAATTAAGAATATTTGGAAGAAAAAAAACCTCATTTTTCTTCCCTTTAACCAAAATGTCAGCACCTATTCAGGTGCAAGTTCTTCCTTTTATCTAGGATGTGTATATAGTAGTTTTGATCAATTACTTTCTATCAGAGTTCTTATTTATGAACTCAAGCATGGAGCACTCCATGCTGTTTTTAAATTTCTCATCAAACATCTCTATTAAAAATAAATAAATATTTTCCTTTTTATTAAATAGACCATAATCCATCCTTAAATAAGAGAACATAAATTACATAAAAAATATTAACATTTCACCATTGTATAACAGCTCCATATAATATAAATCCAAAAAAATAAAAAATAAAACAACTCCATATATTATAAGTTATTACAAAAGAACGCTCAAACCCACCTAAAATAAAGGGCTACTTGAGAAATTTTCACTTACAACAAACACCAATAATGTGTTATCTATAAAACAAATTATCCTTATTTTCACCTAAAACTGTTTGAGTCTTTCTTTAAACTCACTTGGGCAAATAATTGCACTATCTACACATAACCCACCTTTGGTATGAGTACAATCAATTTGGGCCAAAGAAAACTTAATTTTCATGGGCTCATTGGGCTTTACAACCACAAAATCTCCTACATGGTAATAAACCCATTCCCCCGACTCATTCAAATAACACTCCGATATTGAACATTCACCGTATGATGTAGTCAGTTTAAATCTAACCGGCTTTACATCCCATCCACGAACTCGATCAACGATGCAAACGCGCCGGCCCAACCGTTTCGACGGCTTTCCCAATTTTATTCTGAAAGTTACACTGTAACTACCCACAGGGAATAAAAACTCTAGCTCCCCTACTACTTCAACCCACCACATTTGTTGAAGATAAGCCACATTCTTAAACCTGTGGAAACAATTTTTTTATTTATTAAGCTTTTGTCTCAAGCAATGCACAAATAATGATATATCAAGAATATAGAATATGGCATTGCTTTAAAACCAAATTAAAAAGAATATGGAATTGGTTCTCTATTTTAGCCATTATTCTTGGAAAAGATAGCTTGCACTCTTCTTTATTTGATCACAAAAAACATATAAACCAATAGAATTTGCAAGTAGGCTTTTAAAAATCAACGTCCCATCATTAAGATATTACCATAGGAAAATTTCATGTTCTACTACTAATAATACAAGATTTTTAATATTAATAAAATCATTAAGAAGAATGGTTCCTTCTTTGGGGTTAAATATATGTCAACATAAGTTTTTTTTTTTAAATAAAATAATAATTTAGGTATTACAATTTTTTTCAAATGAAAATAAAGTAAATGATATTTTAATTCATGATGTAACGTTGCTCATATTATTCTCTGCTATTGATTTCAAGTAGTTTGTAGCATTTTCACTTCCATGACCATTTTCTTTTCATATTCTTTTGCATCATATATATCAAAATATATTAAACTTTCATCTATTTGTTTTCAAACAAGTTAATACACAAGAATAGGATTTTGATTAAAATAACACTTTAATTAAGACGTTTTCACAAGATATTTTAATTAGGAGGTTTTCACAAGATATTTTAATTAGGAGGTTTTCACAAGATATTTCACGAGATATTTTTTAATTGCTCAAAAATACTTTCACTTTTAAGGAAAAGCACCCTTTTAATATGAAATTAATAAGAAAATATATTTAATTTTAATATAGAATATGATTTCTATAGTTGATTGTAGTGTTAACACAATAGTCAGTGATACATCAAATATTTTTAGACGTAATTTCTTTTTAAGATACCCCTTCATTGCTCATACAATTAGACTTCTTGAGTTGATGTTTTTGTAATGGCCTAAATTGATAGAATCTTATATTTTATTGAGTTTTTATAATAAATTTAATTCATTTTTACATATTCATCTTGTAAGTAGAGAATTGAATATTTTCCAATATACCCAAAATTCAATTATTATAAAAATGAATAATTCAAAAAACAGTAATTCAAAAAACACAAGCAGGTCCATGAAACAGACAGAAAATTGAAATTGTTAAGAAGTCAAGACACATGATTTTGACCAAAAACATAACCCTCCCATAAAGGATGCAAAATAAGTAAATAAAATAAAAATTAAAATATAAATAGTTCCATCTTTATAAGGGTTTTAAAAACAAATAGTTTCATCTTTGTAAGGGTTTTAAAATCCGTCTGACATAAAAATGATCATATCAGAACGTGTTGATATTGATACGGTCTCTTATGATAAAAAATAAATTGTTACACTCTAACAATCATAATTAATATCGTAACATTAATATCAATTGAAATTGTGTAAATTTTTGCACAACCGTGACAGCGACCGTTATTTATAACTCTCAGGTATAACATTTTTATAGAACATATATCTCACCTGGATTCCTCAGTTGGAATGTAAATCCAGTATCTTCTATCATCTATTCCAGTTATCTTCAAAGACTTTGATGACATGAACAAACAAACTTGTCCACTGCATTTATCCAACAAAACTTCCTGTACACCATAAACAAAACAGATCAAGAATTTGTCAATAATTTCATGACAAAATCAAAGGAAAATCAAGTTTACAAAGTAACTTACTTTGGTATTACCATCAAAGAGATTTCTTTGACATAGTTTTGTATAGATCTCTTTCTTAGTCATAGTGGAAACACTTTCTTCATCAAGAACTTTACTAGCAAGAAACTTGTAGCATGATGGTAACTTTGATTCCCACACAAAATCAGAAGAAGAAGCTCTATGAAAAGCACGGTTGACTCTAGCCAATTTGCATATATCAGGTGGATCAAGATTCATGAGAAGAGAAGAGATGCAGCTTTCTGGAAGATCACCAAGATCAGTTCTTGATGATGATGAAGAATCATCTTTTTCTCTAATATTAGATGCTGTTGAAGAAACACTAGACCCCATAAATGAAATAATTGAAAAAAATAAATCTTTGTTGAAGAAATAAAATGAGAAGAGAATTTGGAGAAAAGGGTTTCAAAGATAAAAGAGGAGATAAAGTATGGAAGAGATTGGAGAAGAAGAAAGTGCTTCCATTTTCTAGGCTTGGTGTCAAAGAGTGGTGACAAATTTAACAATTATTTATATATATATATATATATATATATATATATATATATATATATATATATATATATATATATATATATATATATATATATATATATATATATATATATATATATATATATATATATATATATATTCCAATCGTATAAAAACTTTTACAATTTTAACCGATATAAATGTTGTGATATTGAATTATGATTATTGCAATATAAATTATTCATAATTTATTTTTTTAAATAAAAACAATAAATAACAATATCAATATGGTCTATATCAGTTATGTTGTAGGCATTTTAAATTATATATTGAATTAAAAAATGAGCATGTGAGTAGTGTGCGTTTGTGAAATGGGAAAAGACATAAAGTGTAATTCCTATATGTCAATTTAAACTTTGAATTTCCAACAAGAGGAAAGAATTTGTTGGTGAATGGGACGTGCATGAAAATTGGTGGGTCTAGATAATTAATTTCTTGCCTTACATATACATAAACATACATGCCATCTTTTGTCTATGAATAAATAAATAATAGTAACTTGTTGTCGTTTGTGGAGATTATGTGCCCCTATTTACTTTTCGTGTACACATTGCAAATTTATTTTATTCCTTTTTGTGAAATATTATTCAAAACTTAACAAGTTCAAGATAAGAAAAGTGTACATGTGCTTGTGGAATTAAATAATAATTAAAAGAATAAAACATGGATTTTATTTTGTTTATTTGAAAGTTTGGATGGGTATAGATATTGATCGGGACTGGACTTACGTTTGTCCTACAAAAAGAATGTTTAAAGGACCCAAGTTAGATATTATGGGGCACCTCCTCATCTAATCGTTGGAGGACGTGGCCCACCACTTCTCAACGGACACATCAAACTATCCACTGGAAATTTTGGATCCAACCCTATCCTCGTAGAGCGGTTGACCAGGGGGGAGTCCACATGCTGAACTCCAAACTCACGTAAACCATGACAGTTCCTGTTATTGTGCCTCTACGCGGCCCAATGGTGGGGACCTTGGCCCAGCGCTGGGAGCTATAAATACCCTCTCTCATGAGAGGGTCAGGTGTTCATTCATTCACACCTACATACTCATTTGCTTGCTCATTCCCTCTCTCATTTTGTCATCGGAGTGTCTTGTAGGTACCCCCCATCTCCTTCAAATACAGCCCAAAGCCAGTTGTGACGGTCCAATTCTGACCAGGTACGATCGGTGGCACCGTCTGTGGGAATCTAAGCTTCCCCGTCTTCTATTCGCTTAAAAGACCAAAGCTAAAACCATCCTCGACTGTCATGGCTGACCAGACTCAGGACAACCAGAACGTCCGCATCATCGAAGCTAACAACAACATCACCGATAATAATGTCGGCCCCGACAACGCCGGCATCACCGGCCATAACACGGTCCCCGACGGAAACATCCCTGGGCCTTCTAACTATCGGGACGGAGCCACGGCTTCATCTTCATCAATCCCTCCTCGGCTTGAAGAAGATCCAGCCGTCCAATTCCACGAAGTCCCTGTCCCCGCCGGGGCAGACGCCACTATTAGGGTACTGTTCGCGGCAATTAACCAGACCAACTATTTCATCTTTGCCCAGGGGAAAGATTGAGAGCACTCGAAGACGACCGAAGGCCCCCTAGAAGACACAGGCGGCTTCAATCTCCTCCCCCTAGACAAATAGAGGAACATCCCTGATCTCCCCCACGGAGACAGAATCAGGACATCTCTCGAAGCTTGTCGCCTCGACCAATCGGGCGGCGACCCCGCTTGGAGAGGGAACCACTTATCGAAGTAGGAAGGTGCGACCATGGCCCTTCGAGGCAAGAACGAAGACATCCTAGGGACAGACACAGAGGAAACTATCAATAGTCACATTGCTCGAGGAACTTCCCGCACGACCAGGGCCATCGTGACCGACAATACATCGGATCCCCGTCCTGCTCCCCAGAACGGAGTGATAAGGACGAACCCCGCGGTCCCTTGTCACAAGCTATCATGGAGGCGCCCATTCCCCCAGGCATGGAGAAGCCTCCCCACTTAAAAGAATATGACGGCATCGCCGACTCGATCGACCACATAGACGGGTTCGAAGCCATGCTGCACTACCACAACGTTGGGGGACCAATCAAATGCCGGTTGTTCCCCACGACCCTGAGGAAAGCAGTTATGGACTGGTACAAGGGTCTCGCCCCGGGGTCAATTACCTCGTGGTGAAACTTGAAGAACCAATTCATCAGCTCGTTCACTACTTCGCGACGACACCCGAAGACCGAAGCGGTGCTCGAGGCCATCGTCCAGAAGCACAATGAGACCTTGAGGGAATTCATTAACCGCTTCAATCGGGAAGCCATCCAGGTCCCCTGCACGGACCATATGAAGAGATACCTGCTAGAGAGGGGGCTCCTCCTCGTCACCGAATTCAGAAAAGTCATGGGCATTGAACCACCCTGAACGTTCGATGCCCTCCTCGAGAAGGCCAGAGCCTACATGGACTACGAGGAAAGGTAAGCGGCCAACAGAGCTCGAGACCCCATAAACCGCGGATCCAGCAGTATTCCGCGATAAGATACGACCTCTCCTCGACGCACTGGGGAAAAGAGAAGAGACGATAAACCCCGGGACACCCGGGAGTAGAGGGGATCCTTGGGACGGTTTACAGAATACACTCCGCTCACGGCTTCTCGCGAGCGCATCTTAGCGGAGTGCGCAAGTACAGATTTCAAGGATGGCGACGTCAAACGTCCGCGTCCAGCTCTTGCCAAACCTGGGGTGGACCGGAGCAAATACTGTCAGTACCACCGGAGCCACGGGCATCTGACCGAAGACTGCATCCACCTCAAGGACGCCATCGAGACCCTCATAAAAGGGGGGAGACTCGCACAGTACCGGTGAAACGACACTCCTCGTCGGGACGCCCGTGAGACAAGGGAAGTGGAAGAGGATACGTGACCATATGACGAGTCGGTTCCCATCCAAACCGCATTGTCCATCACAAGACCCGAGGACTTCTACGTCCCCTATCACTTGCAAGAACCTCTATCGACGCACAGCAGGTGGGAACACTTCCCCTCTGCCATGGTCATCAATGATGGAGGGTTCAATGATCTGACCATAAATTCAGCTAAGAGGAAGCTGGACGAGTTGGTCGACACGGACCCCCTCAAACGGTGACCTTTGAAAAGGTGAGAGGCAGGTCAGAGCCAATAACCTTCTACCTCGAAGAGCTCCCAGGAAGGGCCCCCAATTCGGTCATCCCAATGCTGATAAGAGCGAGAATGACCAACTTCGACGTACATCGCATCCTCGTCGTCGAAGGAAGTTTCATCGACGTAATGTACAGCCAACTGTTCTGAACCCTGCAACCCGACGACTCTCACCTCTCACCTTACATGGGGTCGGACCTGCAGGGCTTTAACGGCTCAACTTCCAAGCCTTGGGGATACGTCGAGCTCATGGTTACATTCGGAGAGGCTACGGCTACGAGGCAAGTCAAGGTGCGCTTCCTCGTCATTGATTTCCCCTCCCTCTATGACTGCATTATGGGAAGGCCGACACTGGAAGAGCTGACCGCAATGCCCTCCACCGTCCATTTAAAAATGAAGTTTTACACCAAGAGGACACGGGTCGCCACTATCAAAGGTGACTTAGCAGCTTCCCGTAGGTGTTTTAACGTGGCATCCAAGGGACGTGACACGGTAGACACCAGCACAAGGCCCGCCAAGAGAGCTGCAACTACACGACCAGAACCTCAGAGGTCAGAGCCCGTCAGAGCGGAAGAGCAGAGAGCCCCTCCAAAGGTCGACTCGATATCCCTAGATACCCACTTCAACTAGGATGAGCCTCCTAGCCGCGAGCAAGTCCCCCTTCGACCAATTCCGAACAAGGACTTCGAACTCGTTCCCCTTGGTGAAGACCCAAGTAGAGGAGTGAAGATTGGAACCGGACTCCCCGACTTGGCGAGGAAGCAAATCAAAGCTTGCTTGCGCGAGAATGCAGATCTGTTTGCATGGAGCGCTACGGAGATGCCCGGACTCGACCCTGAGGTTGCCTGTCACCAACTCGCCATCGATCCAGCCGCTAGGGTAATAGTGCAACGTAGACGTGGGCAGTCTCCGGAGAAAACGGAGGCTGCTGAAAAAGCTGTAAAAGACCTCCTAGAGGCAAATTTTATTTCTGAAGCCCGATATTCAACCTGGTTGTCAAATGTTGTACTTGTCAATAAAAATAATGGAAAATGGCGAATGTGCGTTGACTACACTGATCTTAACCGGGCATGCCCGAAAGATGCATTTCCTTTACCTAATATTGATATGCTGGTCGACAACTCGGTCGGTTATAAAATACTATCGTTTATGAACGCCTATTCGGGCTATAACCAAATCCTAATGGCAATAGGTGACAAGCACTGCACTGCCTTCATGACAAACTCGGGCAACTATTACTACAACGTAATGCCCTTCGGTCTAAAAAATGCAGGAGAAACGTATCAGCGGATGATGAACAGAGTCTTCCGCAACCAAATTGGGGATATGCTCGAGGTATACATGGACGACATGATCGTCAAGTCCCTAGCTGTGATCGGTGGATCTGGAACTGACTGTTTAACGCTGGTTTCGCGAAATGTCGCGGTAAGCAAGAGTCGCCACCGTCTTTTATTTTCTCCAAATGGAAAGGACAAAAGCACAGAAAAATTCCTTATAGAGATTGCTCTCGGTTCGGGAGGTAGATTTATAGAAAGGGAAGGTGTTAGCACCCTTTCTATCCATGGTTATCCATGGGCTCTTAGATACTTGCTCATTTGTGTTTTCAAAATTGTTTGTTTGCTTTTCAATTGTG